TGTGATGTGTGAGAGTTCAGGATTGCAAAGGTTTATTGAGAATATGATTATCATTGCATTAAGGTTACATAGTTACATGAGAATTTCCTTAACCTGAGACGGTCTGGCTAAATTAAAGGTGCATATGAGACGCGAACTCATTTCCAATTTTGTCGTTTTCAACCACATGAACAATTCTTCCAATGTAAAACTAGTAATAATAATAACCATAATACAGAAACAAAATAACAGAGTACCTGGTCACAAAACTCCTTGGGACGAGGTAGCGTGACATGAAATAAACACAAACACAGTGTAACATAAACACACTTCGCGAGATGAACAAATGAACAATGGATAAGAAGCCAATCGATCTGCTTTTGTACGCTCTCCGGCCTCAATTATCGGCATTGTGAATGATCAGATCCTCCGTGGAGTCGTCGGAGATGTGTAGGTAGATGATCCAGTACATGAGGTTGAAACAAACAAAGCACACAGGAAAGACGATCCTGGAATATTTATCGATGTCAGAGGGTGAGCAACCGTACAGCTTGTTCAGGCCCTGCAAGATGTACCAGGAACACACGTTACACATCATGGAATCATGATTTTAAACTGTGACACTTTAGATAAAGATACATGTATTAGCACGTTAGACAACATAGAATCATAATGATAAAGTGTAATACTTTAGACAAAGATACATTGTATCTAAACTACAGCTAACGAAGAATTATTTCTCTAGGAATAATTAACGACTAACTAGTCTACAGTGAACTAATAAACATTCACTTCTCTAGTTTAATATATAAATTTCATGTAATGTTACAAATTCTTTGAGAAAGATGATAATTTAAAGAAAGTTAAACGTTCAATTATTTCTCATTTTCTTATTAACAAATTGTAAATTTCAAATATATATAACAACATTTACAAAAAGAATAACATCAAAGTCAATCATATTTAAAGGAAAGTAAAACGCACCCATCTACAGAAATATATACATGCATTAAAACACACACACACACACACACATATATATATATAATCATTCACACATACAAAAATTATTGAAAGAATAGAGAAACATTCTTTTGTAATGGACAACAGCTTTACATCTTTATAGTAAAGCAACAACTTTTAAAGTTGTTGATAATTTTTTTTAGTTGACTACCTACTATCCAGTCACAACATTAAAATAATTGTTAATGGTTTCCTTATCTTCAATACAGCAATTCTTACCTGACCTCAAGAGGCAGCAGCCAATGAGTCCTTTTTCAGGGCACTAATTCATATATATATATATATATATATATATATATATATATATAATATATATATATATATATATATATATATATATATATATATATATATATATAATATATATATTATATAATATATATACACACACACACTAGAAAACCGCGATATTGGGCACGTCACAAAATTAATCTTTTTCACAAATGATAAATGATTCTGAATTAAATTTAAAATTTTTATTTAAAAATTTCTTTGCAGCACATATTTATTTTATTTATTTATTTTACTCACTGTTATTAATACTAAGCTGTGAAGACGAATCGGTTAATATCTTCCCGTCGACCAAAATAATAAGCTCTCAAATATGCCCAGTGATTTAATAATAGTGTGTTCGTCTGGTTTAATAACAGTGTGTTCATCTGGTTTAATAACAGTGTGTTCATCTGGTTTAATAACAGTGTGTTCATCTCACAACCATAGGTCTCAAAATCGATCTCGTTAAAATAATATGAGATCAAACTAGGGGTATTTTTTTTTTTTTTTTTTTTGCCTTTTTACTATTTGCAAGAATTTTAACCATTATCATCCGTTTGTTTTTAGATAAATCGATTTGACACTTTTGGAAAGAATATTCAGAGGGGAAAGACTCTGGCATTTGGGTTCCAGTTAACTGTTTTGTAGGGGATAATGGCGTCTCTAAATGAAAGAGAAAGACAAGTGGAGGCAAGCTCTTACCATGACAACACTTCGCTCTTTCTAGAGCAATACATGCGACTTCCTTTCTTATTGAGCAGTGCGAAAGAAACTCCGTTCCTGTGGGAAACTTAATTAAGAGTCACATAAACTCAGATTAAGTTGAAGATTATGACACATGTGCAACAGTAGGGTATCTTCATTGATGAATCGTCTCACCAGCACAGTAGGTTTCTTCAGTCCAATACAGAGGGAACAAGTAGTGAAATAAAGATGAAGTAATCAGTCCATCAACCTTGGAGAGAAAGTATTTGAGGTGGTGAGTCCCTCAGCCTGAGAATCGTTCAGCTTCATAGTCTGGAATGATATCGTTGTGCATGTGCCTTAATCTTCAACCTCTCGGTATTTTGTACCATATTCAACATATCAGACTGAGTGGTAATTAACACCTGTCATATTCAACATATCAGACTGAGTGGTAATTAACACCTATCATATTCAACATATCAGACTGAGTGGTAATTAACACCTGTCATATTCAACATATCAGACTGAGTTGTAATCA